TGGAAGACAACGGGTTCACAAATATCTGTAGCCCCTCCCGTGTTCGGAAACATACCGGGCGCTATTGTTTGTGCAATTCTTGGTAATTTGGGTGAGTCTCATCTTTTAATGATAATTATTGAAAAGTTGCGATATTTGTTTAATATTACTGTAACAAACCTTACAATTTCTTCAAGATAGATAAATATTGATATACATGTATTTTACTTGTAAGAATATTGAAAGTTTTTATTAACCCCGCAAATAAATCGACTAAGTTTTTTCTAATAACTTCTATTTTTAACATGAATATATCGCTGTTATACGTTTCCCTGTGGTACTGAATGCACATGGGAGGGGCGGCCATTCATAACGTGTACATATACTCTTCCGCAGAGTATCTGGTGTCTTCATTTACACTTCCGTGACATTATTTTTTTATGAAATATTAATTTATCATATCTGGTATCTATTGTGTTCGGACACCAGGATGCGTATCCCAAACAACGCGATTAAAACGTGATGTAGGAATAACGTAATACCAACACGATAGAGTTTTGTTACTTGGAGCTCGGCGTTCATGGAGACCCTTGGCGGAGGTAATGCCTTTATTTCTACTTTTAATCATTCGGTAGAATATTAGATTCTATTTTTGATATGCAGTTTTATAAACGTTTCTTATGCAAGTCTTACCAATGCTATTTTTGATGATGGCTAAATGTTAGCCAAATATGAAATATACTCATGGAAACGAATAAGAGAACACGTGAAGGTTCAAGTGTTCCTTTATATATTTCCAGAATTTCATCCACAGTGCAATACATACCTTGTGAAGAAACTTGGAAAAGAATTAAGGAACACTTGTACTTTCATGTGTTCCCTTATTCGTTTCCATGAGTATATAGTTATGCGACGGTGATGATCTGTTACTGGCATCCAATGTGCCCTTTGGAGTGTGTCGGCAACAGATTTCGGAGACTTCTTGATGAATTATGTTTATTTATTTTTTTGGGGGTTGGGGGTGTCAAATCCAATATTCAGATGTATGTTTCGTCTGACCACAGTGTAAGTGCATTGCAGTTATATGAAAACTATGGCTACACCAGGACGAATCTTTCGTCTCGGCCGTGACAGTATACATTTAATATAAAACAGCATATTAAAATCGTAAACCAGTGTCATATTTTTGATTTAACACGTTTTTTCTCCTTCAGTATGTGACATTGTCCAACTGACAAAAACCGAAATAGAGTATTTAATGTTTTGTAACTATGCTATTGCAAATGTGATTTGAGCTCCATGTCGATTTCACGTCCTCGCTTGACTCGCTTGTGTTGCAAACAAGTATGCGGTTCCATCTGGAAGCAAATGCAGCATTCCGTTCCCCAACATTTTGTTTTCATATATCTGTGGTATGTTAGACATTTATTGCAACTTTGTGGTATCGTGGACATTTATTGAAATGAGATAAGTGTCATTTGTAAATGTTTCCATAAGTTCCATAAAATTCCTCGAGACATGAAAATGTAGAAGTGACGTTTAACTTTTCTGACTGATAATGGATGAAACATTTATTATAGGTATGTGGTCGTTATGGAGATATTTGGATATATAATAAATATTAAAGTAAAGCGAAAAATCGTTTGTAAGCGAGCGTCTCAACTCTAAACTGAAAAACATTATTTTTGGATTTTCATTTCGGAATCATATGGGTTGTTCAATGGTAAAATCGCTGGCTCTGCCAGTAAAGTCGGCTCTCCTAGAGAGGTATTGTTACATAGAGACTATCATGTGCCCCTTCTTATCAGTTATATAACAAATCAATTGCTACTACTTAAGGAGCAGCACTTGATATACATGCACCATGTTGTGAATTCTTGCCTTACAATTTAATGGCTGCGTCAGTCTGAATCAGTGCAGTCGGGGTTCAGCTGGAATCATTAGCTGTACAGTGACATATTTGTACTAACCATAGATCGGCACAATACTCTAAGGTAATAAGGTGGCCACATGAATACGTGCAAACACCTAATTGCGGGTACAGCAACGTGCAGTGAATATTGACAAAGTACTGTGACTGTGTGTCCCAGTCCACCCAGCTGTGAATGGGTACCTCGTAAGGATGAGAAAGCCACAATAACTCCGTGCGCCTAGTGGCTGCAAGAGTTGTATACCAGGGAGCTGAGATTGATAATGCGATGTGCCGTTGAGATTGACATCCAATGATCGAGGGAAAACATACCAGCGCCTTGAGCATGCACTAGTGCGTGGATAAGTGCGCTATATAAATATCCTATAAATAATAAAATAATTAATAGTTAAAATAATAATTTCTAAAAAATGTAAATTAGAAGAACACATTGTCCCTCTAACAGACTGGCGTCCTTAGATGTACTGCCCGCTTATGTAGACTTGCCTCTTTAAAGGATATAATTACTATACATCATGTCTTTAGCATTCAGTACAGCCTTGCAACAAGGCTATTCTAACCGATGCTTGTGATTATAATGAATCAAATGCGTTGTCTGCCGTCTGAGGGCAATAACACAGCCTTAAATGAGAGAAAAAATGCGAGCTGTTGTTAAGAAAATAAACATCACAATTAGCATCCACTTTCTGTGCTGGCGATTTGGTTCATCATTCTGAGAATGTGGGTTCCAATCCCGGAGTGGAGTACAGAACTAGAATTTGTACCTTTCAAAGAAAGTGTAATCCGAAATAAAACGTGTTACATCAGACCATTTTCTAATAACATTTTGTATTCTTAAAATTAGCTTTCCCCAAGTTAAATCACGCACCGGAACAACACGATGTCAAATATAATATGAGAAAACAGTGATCAATGTATGTTGTACGTCTTCTCCTTTGTTGATGTACTGAAGCCATCAGGTTAGCAAAGGCCAGCACATAGTTGATATTGTCACGGTTCGATTCTCTTCATGGTTACAGTTTGTGACGATTAATGTGAATGACCACACGAATCCACTCATCACTCATCATTTTCGGTAACCACTTACAAATCCAACAACCATATATGTACACGTTCTCTTACCCAGTCAACAACCCCTTATAAAACGGGGCGGTGGGGTAACTTAACGGTTAAAGCGTTGGCTCGTCACGCTAAAGACCCGGGTTCAATTTATCACATATGTACACGAACGATGCCATTAACGATGTTATTTCAAATCCCTGTTTCAGTCTTTGTAGCCATGGAGAATGGTGTAATAATAATTACTATTTGCAGGTTTTATACATTAAGTCTTATACAACAGGGGCGGTGGGGTAACCTAACGTTTAAAGTGTCCGCTCGTCACGCTGAAGATCTGGGTTCTATTCCCCTCATGGGTACAATGTGTGAAGACCATTTCTGATGTCCCCCGCCCGATATTCATGGGATATTGCTAAAAGCGGCGTAAAACCCATCTCACACACGTCTTTAAACAAACCACTCGACCCCCTTACTCAAGTCACGTTAACAGATGGAGGATGAAACGTATCAGATGGAGGATGAATTTAACGTATTGCAATCCTCGGCTAAAGCTGCTTAATACCAATGTTTGTTGACGTAATACAATGTCCCGCGGCGAATGTTACACAATTGTTCAGGTGGGTTATATACATGTATATCTTTTTATTTCATGTATATGGTCTTCTCCTGGATGGGCAATACGATCATATATTCACCAGAATGTGAAATTTCTTGGAACGTCAATAAATGCGCAGTTTAGATGAAGTATAGCGGCACAACAGGAACCGAAGTCGACATATGAAAGTATTTTGAAGTTTTCAGAACTTGAGTTGAGCAGGATGGTTAAGGTAAAGTCGATTGTTTACAGGGAAAGTTGCGATTCCGGAATGTTGCCGTTGGCGCCGCATAATACGTATATACACTTCGACCACATCGCAACGCTATTTGATAATTGGTGAGGTAAGGTGAGGTCAGATGAGGTGAGGTGTTTAATGTCGCGTTCACAGTTAGTGTTCTTATTTAGCGATGTGGGGCGGTGTGGTAGCCTAGTGGTTAAAGCGTTTGCTCGTCACGCCGAAGACCAGGGTTCGATTCCCCACATGCGTACAATGTGTGAAGCCCATTTCTGGTGTCCCCTGCCGTGATATTGCTGGAATGTTGCTAAAAGCGGCCTAAAACTAAAATCAGTCAGTATTTAGCGATGTGGATGCACGTGCATGTGTGTCTCTGCTTGTAATAGTCTCGACTAATGCTGATTTTATTGTACTAGCCGACAGCGATGCCATGGCGAAGTGTTAAAAATGAATAACCTCTCAGACACGTTATTGCCTCCAAGCGGACCAGTTTTTCTCAATTACTCCTACTAGCGCCATGGAGGGTGACAATAAGTACCATCTGTTAACGTCTTTCGATATGAGGGGCGGTGGGGTAGCCTAGTGGTTAAAGCGTTGGCTCGTCACGCCGAAGACCCGGGTTCGAATCCCCACATGGGGATTACAATGTGTGAAGCCCATATCTGGTGTCCCCCGCCGTGATGTTGCTGGAATATTGCTAAAAGCGGCGTAAAACCAAACTCAGTGAGTCAGTCTTTCGATATGACGCTACTGGAGATCCTACCCCGATGTTCTCCTCTCGGACAGATGCTTGAGTTGTTAAGACCATTTCCAAGCTGGAGTTTCACTGGGCTCTTATTGTAATTTAAAGCATGCATGAAGCTTGTCTATGTGTAATTATAGTGATCATTGCATACAAAAGTGGTGTACTTAAAACTGTAAAAGATTGTCATTTGAGGGGAATTAATCAAATCTGTAACCCAGCCCTGTCACAATATTTCAAGTGAGTGAGTTTAATTTTACGCCGCTTTAAGCAATATTCCAGCAACATCACGGCGGGGGATACCACAAATGGGCTTCACACATCGAACCAGGGTCTTCGGCGTGACGAGCGAACGCTTAACCACTTGGCTACCCCACCGCCCCATTATTTCAAGAGGCCATGGGGCATTATGAATATCAGAAATTGTAAATTCTATATAGTGTTTGATTTGTTCCAGATCCGAAGCTCACAATGAAGTACGACTTGGTCCCGACGGACACCGAAACGCTCATCGTCTACCGGGACCGCTACGATGACGGGACGGGCGACTCGGACAACACCGACATGACCCGAAGCGAGGAGAACGACCATCGGATGTCTTACGCCACTTCAGACGAGAATGACGACGATGATATGATCCATCACGACCACGATGACGACATGATCCATCACGACGATGGCGACGACAACGTCTTCTCGCCCGCGAGTCCAGACACAGACAAGTCGGTTCAAGATGGCGGTTTCATCTGTCTGCAAAGCATGCCAAGGTCTCTGTTACCGCCAAGACACGTCCTTCTCAACTCGAGTCCGGCCGCGCTGGGTGAGGACGGACCTCTGGACCTGCGACAGAAGCAGCAGCTAAGGAGAAGATACAGCGATCAAGATCGGCCACCGTCTCCGTTCAGGAAGATAGCTCGACGGATGTTTACCAACAGTCGGGAGAGATGGAGGCAGCAGAATGTTAATGGGGCCTTTGCCGAATTGCGGAAACTTGTACCGACCCATCCGCCTGATAAGAAGTTGAGCAAGAACGAGATCCTCCGTTTGTCTATCCGTTACATTAATCTTTTAAACCAAGTCCTGGAGTTTCAAAGTCAACAGGATTTCGGCCACGAGTTACCTGAACGACATGACCCTCGGGCAGATGTCATGAACATAAATCAGGACACTGACGTCCAAAATGCGCAACGGCCATATTCCGGAACATCCTCCCCTTCACCCCACTCATTTTCAACCGGGGCGAGTGGGGACAGAGGAGCAGACGACACTTCGAACTTGACTTAAAGGTCAATAATTATTCAGTGTAGACGTTCTACAAATGTTCGACAATATTTAAGTATATCAAAGATTGTTGTGTTTGAACGACCCTAGTCAAGTGATGCTTGAAATTAGTGACTGAAATCAAGAACGTCCGAACAAGTGATTGGGACTTGAGATGGGTGTTCCATGACCATTTCCAAATTTTATCCCCAACCTATCAACATTTTCATGTCATCGTTTCATTGTCGTAAACAGTTTAATTGTCGTCAGTGTGATGATTTCTAGTTTTGTCATCATAATATGTACAACCCTTGAAGATCCGGTTTAGATTTGATCTTCACCAACCCATGCCTGTCTTCCCACTTAAAGATCCGGGTTAGAATTGGTCTTCAGCAACATATGCTTGTCGTAAAAGGCGACTAACTTGACCGGGTGTTCGGGCTCGCTGTCTTAGTTCATGTATGTCATCGTATCCCAATTGCGTAGATCGATGTTCATGCTGTCAATCAATGAATCATCTTGTCCAGAGTCGATTATTTACAGACCACCGCCATATAGCTGTAATATTGCTGAGTGGAGTGATTAAACATCAAACAAACATAGCATTTACAGAAAGACATACGACTTCAGTGTATAGAAAACGGGCAAGCTTAACTTCGGGTAGTCTACCCATAAATTTTGTAATTGTAATTATCAATCCTTCCTTGCACACTAAAATGATTGTCTCCTTCAACAAATATAACGATTATATACCACCGTGATAGCACTACAGATCTTCAACTGTATAATTTCCAATGCCATATATGTATCTTGTACCCCACGCTGTACAAGAGTTCAGCGTCTTCGTGTCACCGTCTAGTTCAGTCGGGTTTTTTCTGGAAATTCTGATGTTCCATCATGTACATCTTTGGCAGCTACTTTTTTATTCTCTGAAAGGAGGATTTATTTTATGGGGACCCTCAGCATTTTCAGATAATGCAGCATGTGAAGTCAACAGGAATGTTTAAATTTGGTCAAAACCTGAGGACATTGTTTTAAGGAACAGATAGGTAAAAACATAACAGCACCACGAGATCATCAAATGGTAGGATGCTCAATGAAAAAATGTGACGTAGTGAGTTTTTATTTAACGGCTCGATGCCGAGGTGACAAACCGAGAAACATTATCAGAGCTAACTTGGATTTTTATAAAAACTGAAAAATGAAGAAAATGCGCATAATGAGTCGTTTAAACACGGAAAATAATTTTAGCGATATGTACTTCCAACCATTTACCCCTCTCATAAGCTACGTTTTGATCACATTCTTTAGTGTTAGATAGTCCCAACACGAATTATGATCAATGATCTTACTGGACACTATCGTGAGAATCTCCTGGAGCTGTTGTCGTGCCTGACTCAGCGTGTCGGGAAACAGGCCCGAGTTGATTTCCTTCCGTGTAGGGAGAGAGCAGGTGCTTGTCTCAAGTGCGCAGGGTGCTATGAACATTTCTCGGCCGTGTCATCATAGACCCGGAGCCTTTCATCATCACAAGTGATGTATATCTGTGACCCCGTTAATGTATTGTTATTCCTTGCTGTCTGTATTGTGTATATAAGTAAAGTGGTCATACCCCTGCTTATTTATGAAGGATTCACCGTTGAATATATTATTTTGAATGAGATGTCAGGTATAATAATAATGATCATAATAATACTATAACCGTGAGAATTTCTGTTATTTCATAATATGTTGTTTTAGGAAATGGTTTCGTTTTGTTCAAATATCTCTGAAAGTCCGTGTTACCGTTTAAGCATTCAAGTTCCTGGACGTTCAAGCATAAGGGAAATTATCTGTGTCTTTGAAAAATGATATATTTCTTTATAAAAATTACATATTTCTCACTAAAACGTTCCGACTAAACTAAACTAGCTCTCAAATATATGTAATAACGGTTTGTATTTGTACAATTTATATCAATCGATCCACTGCTGTGATACACTGTAAAGACAACTCTAAGCCTGAGACTCGAATAATCTCATTGTGGGCTGATATGTCTTAAGTACCAGCCCATATTGAAAGACTGTAACAAAATCCTGTTCTATATTAATAAAACTTGTAAAAATAATGATATGCATATATCATATTTATTTTGGGTTTTCACATGTAATATTCTTATTTAAATATCTTTAAATATTCTGTAAAATATACAAACATGATTCATATTTCATGGTTATAGATTGACTTCTCTTTCTCAAATATTACAAAGGGAGATAACTTCTAGCTGAGATTACATCAGCGTGGATGGAGTTCTAAGATTTACCCAGTGATTTTAGTTATTTACACTTTTTATTTTTAGTCGTGTATATATGTAAATAAAATCTGTTCAGTGAATTTTTTATTATTCGTTTTTATTCTCTAGAATGAGAGAGAGACTGATTAAATATCAAGGCGAGGGACACCAAGAACCAGGGTCATACGTTTGCGGGTGTCGAACTCAGGCCTCTGGCGTGGCGAGCGAACGCTTTAGCTACTTGGCTGATTTCCCCCTTCGCCGTCTTATTCTCCTCAAACACTACTGTGGTGAGGTACTGCACCAGGGCTATTTATGGAAGGAATGACATTTTCAGGATCACGCTGACTTTCTTATAAATTCATTTGTGATGTTAGCTTGTAAAACCAACCCAGTACCTTTTACTTTCACATTGAAGTATTAGTGAGTGAGTGAGTTTAGTTTTACGCCGCACTCAGCAATATTCCAGCTATATGGCCGCGATCTGTAAATAATCGAGTCTGGACCAGACAATCCAGTGATCAACAGCATGAGCGTCGATCTGCGCAATTGGGAACCGATGACATGTGTCAACCAAGTCAGCGAGCCTGACCACCCGATCCCGTTAGTCGCCTCTTACGACAAGCATAGTTGCCTTTTGTGGCAAGCATGGGTTGCTGAAGACCTATTCTACCCCGGTATTGAAGTATTAACACATACATCGCCTTCAATACAAGTAGGTAATGTGTTGTCCTAAACTTTTGCAACGTATCTGAAACAATTTCAGCCTAATCATTTCAGGTATGTTTTTAATACACAGGAAATTCAGGAGGGTGGAATTTGTTAAAGAAAACAAAAACAGGTACAGATAATATTTTATGCCAGCCGTATATTCTTGACTGGTTGGTCGGTTGGTTGTTTAACGCCGCACTCTGCAATATACCAGCGATATGGCTGCCATTTGTTAATAATCAAGTCTGGGCCAGACAATCCAATGATCCACAACATGAGCACGGACATACGCAATTGGGAACCGATGACATGTGTCAACCAAGTCAGCGAGCCTGACCACCCGATCCCGTTAGTCGCCTCTTACAAGCATGTGTTACTGAAGATCAATTCTAACCGGGATCTTCAGGTAATCACATTAAGTCGGATGTGTCCAGCTGTTATTTACATCTTTATTTACATTGTACACGTCTTCTATTCCGAGCATAAGAAAATAATAATAATATATAGAGAGAGATTTATTCTTTATAAATATATAGGAAACATCGGGTGTTATCTAACTTCTTTTGAAAAGTATATATCACAATACCGCTATAGTAACCAGCATAGGGATTATTTACATTGGTGTAAATAAACAACGTGTTTACGACAACCAGCAATAAACGCCTTTCGAAAAATTGAGTAACTTATACAAGACAGAAAGAAACAAGGAAACGTCTGAAATATTTCTCTAGTGTATATATTAATGATTAAATAAATGTTAATTCCCTATGGGGGTTCCGCTTTGGAAGGGTCTCACAATAACCTACTTGTCGTACCAGGCGACGAAACAGATCGGTCATGTAGTTGGATTATTGCTCACCGAGACGTCAATAAGACACTTTATAAACAAACATTTTCAAGGTCAATCGACGTTACACTTTACCGTTTATCGTAATAACTTCTTTGAGTGGCATTTAGAAGTTGGTGTGATGAACAACGAGGAGAGTTCTATGGATATGCAACTTCTCAAATATAATATGAGCGAGGTTTCGGTGTAGCTACTAACAACGTTATCAAGCAAGTCTTCAACTCTCCTCGTTGTTCGTTTATCGTAATGTTTTCTTATCAATGCGGTTTGAGTTTTACATTTAAAAAGTTATTTAAACAACGCAAAAAACTAACGTGTCACGAGTTTTGTGATATAATGTAAACGAGATTCTGGTGACTCCAGAGCACATATTCAAGAAGGATAAACAGTGTTTCGCCTGGATGTTGACTATTCCATATGTTGCCATAGAAACGGAAGAAATGCGTACTTTGTGTCTAAACCTGTCAGTGACGTCAATATACCGAAGTTATCATTTTTAAGCGGATGAACAGGGGTTTGTTAGTTCGTCATTTAAGCTGAACGATATTCCAGCTCTATGTCTGTAAATATTCGAGTTTGGAGCAGACAATCGAGTGATGGATTAACAGGGTAAGAGATAATAGCAATATTCGTTTAAGCTTAAAGATGCACATGTGTTATTACACCCGATCATTAAACCAAATGGGTAATATACTACATGGTTAATACCATTAACTGAGATACCGTGATGTGACGTCACGTTGCTATGGGGAAAAAAAAGAACAATGGAGGATTTGACTTGAACAAACACGTCGGTAGGAGTAAGTGAGTGAGTGAGGTCGTATGCCGCTTTTAGCAATATTCCAGCAATATCACGGCGGGGGACACCAGAAATGGGCTTCACACATTGTACGCATCTGAGGAATCGAACCCGGGTTTTCGACGTGGCGAGCGAACACTTTAACCCCTCGGCTACCCCACCTCCCCCGTCGGAAGGAAGCAAAACGTATAATTTCACCGGTATCCTCCCATTTGTCAGACATCACCCCAGTATACTGTTTTATGAAAAGACCAACAGATTACCAAACATACTTTCCCACTGGTCTATAAAGAAAAGAGGATCCTTTGCTTACACAGCACAGCATCTCGGGAAAAAACTGAAGTTGGACTCCATTTTAACATCTCTAGACCCTGTGAAGATGACTATTTTAACAATGAAAAGTTTTTTAATGAAACTAGATGAGGAAATATGGTTTACGGAAATGTGGAACGACAAGAACAAAGTAAATGGAACAGATTATTCAAGAAAGAACGACATCCTGAGCTATACCTACAAATCATCAACAGAGCTAAGAGAAGTAACCTGACCAAACTACGCTGCGGTAATCTAAAATTACGTATAGAAACAGGTCGTTACAGCAAACGCCCCACCCCTCTGTGTGAGAGAATTTGTCCTCTCTGTAATTGTGTGGAAGACGAGATACATTTTCTTTTGCACTGTTATTTTTATCAGGATCTTAGATATCATCTTATAAATGGAGATTTTAAGTATGATAACAATGTGCATTTATTAAGTATTTTAATGTCGTCAGACCCGCTAATTTTATCAACCACTGTGAATAACATGTTTAGAAGACGACTCCTATTCCTGTAAAAATGTTATTCATTTAAACTACCTCTTATATTTTACTCTAAAACGAAATGTACATAGTTATTAAATTGTGTATGGTGTCTCATAAGCCTTATTGGCTGGGTGAACGATATTTTACTATGTATATTGTGTATTTTATTTCATGTAATCGTTCACGTGACACCTTAATAAACTATATCTGTCTGTCTGTCTATAGAAAAGACGTCTTTGTACATTACAAAAGGTTATTACCCAAACTATTTTGGTTATTCCATTAACAAACTGAACACGCGCGAACGCTCGTCAAATTGAAAGGAAACATTTGAAGCAATAACAAAAAGGGCCCAAAGATAATATTTCATTTAAACATTAACAGCCTTGCATAACCATTTAAGAAGTACAAACTAATCTGCGTAGACCTATACGCCATTTCACGTGAACTGCAACAAACATGTCATCTCCAAAATGTTACCAGCAACTCGAAACTTCACGTATCTATAACGTTCTCCATCGCCCAGCTACAAGCAATTACGAGTTCAGTCCGGCCTCTTGCGCACAGGGAAAGTAATTTTCCGCCCACAAATTAATTCAGCTAATTCCCTTCTTAACTCCTTGAAAAAATGATAATTTTGCTTGAACGAGAGGCAATATTCATTACTTGCAACGTTCTCTCAGCAGAGTCTCGGCTAATTCCAGTAAATGGCTAATAAAACCATAGTAGTCGCCGTCTCTCAAAGCCCCATATTGACAAGGCTACCTCTAATCCTTTTATCTATTGACGACACCTTGAGAGAGGTTCATCACAATGCAATAGACACTCTTGACTTGGCGGAAGAAATTGTTTGCATCATTGCGCATGTCAATCACGTGAGTTATCTCAGTCGGAGATCACGTGGTGCACGGCGCAGACGACATTTATATTTCCGCAAACGGAATATGGATAAAGAATGGGGTACTGAAGGTTTTTTTATTAATTGGAATTGAACGAGAATTCGATGGCATGGATATATTTCTGTTTTGTTTTGCTAAGTTTGTTTTACGGGAAGAGGTTTAAGGAAACGATAGCTAGAAACTATATCTGAGCGTCAATTAGCAATTTACTGTTATTTTAATCAAATTTGATTGATTTAATTTTTTTTAGCGAGAACCTGTTTTCGTGCCTGATTTCTAACGTATAAAATTTCAATGATTATTCATCAACCTGACTAATGAATTCCCAGAATAATTAAACCTTTCAACCCACGGGTTACCGTGACTCAATTAACCAGAGTATTTAAATGATTAACGATTGTCGTATTATTACGTCTCACCTGTGTTTAAGTTGTTTACGCTCAATTTCACTCAACCCTGGAATTAAATGAAAACATCGTTACATCGTTTACATTTTTGTCATGAATATTTTCACAACTGTACGGCAACTAATTATATTTGTTCGGATTATACAATAGTCTGAAGTACTATCAAAAAGTCGATATTGCATAGGCCTACGTGTAATTAGTTCGTGGAGTTAAGATTTTCTCTCTTTAGTTTAAATACTGAGGTGACATACTTTCCTCGGAGTACAATGGTAGCAAAATATTGTTCTTATCCAATGATTGATATATAATTTCCCTAAAACATGTAAAATGACTCATACGTGGTATTTGCACGAACTTTTACTCATTTAAAATGTGTGTTCACGTTTGGTAATACTATTTAATGAGTCTTTTACAACTGATTTGATTGTAACAAGTGCAACATGATATTGTTAATTTCATGATTTTACAAGAAATGACCATAAAACATTCATACATATTTAAATGCTATTTAATTTGGACATATTTATCATTCAGAGATACATGTAAATGTAATTAGGCGAAAAATGCATATGTCAACATTTGAAAGAAAGATTTATGCAAATGTTTAATATTTTCATACAAATGAAGTTTTGTTCC